AGTGATTTGTGTGCTGGTGTTGTTAGAATCTGAGAAGCATTGTGATCTAGTGTTGCCTCTCCAACTTCCATCTGCCCACCACATTTGAGTAATGAGTAATGAAGAAATCAGATTGAAAGTATCTTCCTTTCACTCCTTTCTTTCTCCAGGGTAGGCCTTAGGTGAGGTCTTCATACCTTCCCACCCTATTATGGTGTTCACATGTGGCTGATTACTTTCTATTGTCCTCACGGCAGCCAGAATGGTTTCTTTAAAATGATGATGTGATCATACCAATCCTTTGCTTAAAATCCTTTGGTCCAGGCCCTATGTGGTGGCTGACACCTATAATTCCAGCACTTTAGGAGGCCAAGGTGGGTGGATCACTTGAGGTCAGGTGTTCAAGACCAGCCTGGCCAGCATGGCGAAACCCTGTCTCTACTAAAAATACAAAAATTAGCTGGGTGTAATGGTGCACACCTGTAATCCTAGCTACTCGGGAGGCTGAGGCAGGAGAATTGCTTGAATCCAGGTGGTGGAGGTTGCAGTAAGCCGAGATCACACCACTGCAGTCCAGCCTGGGTGAGAGTGAGACTCTGTCTCAAAAATATATATATATATTTTAGTTCCTCTAGGGTAAAGTCCATCTTCCTAGCTTCCAGTGTTCAGTCCCTGTGGTCTGTCCAGCCTCATATCTCTTGGCTCTACTACTAAGCAGGGCAGTTCTCCAAGGGCTGTGTGTTCTTTTGTGTCCCTGGCATTCACCTGCATTTTGGCTTTTGCCTAAAATCCCCTTGCAGTTTCAGAGGTGCAATTCAAATGCCTACCAACACCCATGATGTGAGAGTTTTGGGTGAGCGCAATGGTGACTGGGTAAACAGCGAGCTACACTGTGAGTAACTGCAGCAACCCTGGCTCTGGACAGAGCAGGGGCTATCTGCTGGAAAAGTGGTTGCAGTGAGATAAATATATGCTTTGTCAGAGAGATAAGAAATGTGGATTTGTATGTTGGCAACTACTTTAAGTTTTTAAAAAAATGTGTGGATTGAGGCTTCCTTCTGGAGCGGCAGTGTTGAGTGCCACATTTTCTTTCCCTAGCAAAACAACTATTTGACAGGAGAAAATTATAATTATTTAAATTTTTTAACAAACTGTCTTAAGGGGATATGCAAATGGAAAAGCATTCTTTCAAGAAAATCTACCAAATACCCTTTAGAACAGCAGGAGTCTGTGGTAATGCAGCCATGACTTGTTCCCCCCACCCACTCCCATACTGTCTTACCGAAACTACTGCTCTGGGTGGCTGTGGTCCAGAAGGGGGCTCCCTGCCCCTGCAGGTCCTAGCATCCATAGGTCCTTGGTATCGCCCCAGGAAGGGCAGGCCACCCACATTTCACACCTTCTCCTTCCTCCACTAGGAATGCAAAAGCTTTATTCCTAGTGGAGGGAATTGAGAGAGACAATTGTGACTTCTTTCTTCCACTTTGCCCCTACTCATCGGGTGAAATTTCAATTCCAGGTGCATGAGTCCAAGAACACTGGGTTCCAGTTGCCCCTTCCCCAACTTGCTGTCAGAGTGGGAGTTCCATACCAGAATGCACAAGCTAAGACCAGGAGCTCCTTCCCTCCAGCCCACGTCTACCTGTAGAGCAGGGTGTCATTCTAGAAGGGGGCTTCTGTCTCCACTTCCAGCTCCTGTGCCGTGGTGCAGACGTGCTGTTAAGGAGGAAAGGCAGGATGGAAACCTCCCCAGCTCTATTTAAGGGACTGACCTTATTTGGAACAGATGATAAAGAATTCCATGCCCGAGAGGGATCCAAGGTGGTTGGCTAGGAGCAGCTCAGGACTGCAGCTCCCAGTGAAAGCGCAGAGAGTGAGAGGACGCCACATCTACAGACGAATTTTTGTTGCCCACGGACCAGGAGAGCCCTAGGCGGAGGAGCCCCACGGGTGGCCAGCGCAACTCTTGCCAGCGCGGCTGTTTTGCAGGTGCCCCAGCGTGGCGGTTCTCAGTGCAGAATATACGGGCCTGGGAGCCCTTTAAGTTGGCGTTTGGAGCTCCGGGAAGGCAGAGTCGCCCATTCAGCTGATCAAAAAGGGGATTGAAACAGGGAGCCAGGCCAGGAGATTCCTGGGCAAAAAAGCATCACGAATCTCAACGCAGCTGTTTCGGTTATGTTGATCAAGGCGGGGGATGAGGAATCTTGACCCTGGGCAAAGGAATGCTCACTTTCTGCTGTGATGTGGTCAAGATAAAGCCATCAGAGAGGGACGGGGACAGAGCTGTGTCAGGGCTCACGCTGTGGCTGGGGTGATGGATGTGGACAGAATAGCGGGGGGTGGGGGCAGACACAGACTCCCCCTCCTGTGATCAGAAGCCACATCTTCAAAGTGTGGTAATGGGGCCTCTGCAGGGGTTGGAATCACACAAGCTCCATATTCCCAAAGCAGGTTGAAACCGCATCTGCCCCAGCATTATTTTATTTGAGTAGCGATGCTATTGCTTAGGATGACGCTACAGTTAAATTTTTAAGTGCACTTATTTATAGAAAATTTATTAAAATATATGTTAGAATAAACAACAGTGCACACAATGTACCAATATGGCTGAAATTTTGGAAGTGAGATATTTGGGCATCTCTTGGCTGGATCATTCTGAGACCCCTCCATTTCTGATGCTCTACATTCTTATCAATTACATATGCTAGTTGAGTGTTTATTAGATGGAGGCCATGCCCAGGGTTTTATGCAAATCACCTCCTTGAATTCTCATAAGAAGGCTGGAAGCAGGCCTTGCTGTTTCCATGTTACAAGTCTCAGAGCGGGTGGGGGACTGGCCTGGAGCCACACAGCTGGTCATCTGAACCTCCCTGGCCCCCAGCCCGTGCCCTGCATCAGTGGTTCTTTGGTGACTTTGTGAAGGGGGTCAGAGGGAACTATGGATGGGGCCAGGATCTTTGGGAAGATCCTGGCACAGAGGCAGAGGGTCTTCCCTTTGTGGAGATGGCGCCTAGAGAAAGCCAGCCTATCACTTGCTTCCTGCAGGGGACATCTCTCTTGGGTTTAGCTTTTAGCTCTATTCTTTTTTTTCTTTTTTTTTTTTTTTGAGACGAAGTTTCACTCTTGTTACCCAGGCTGGAGTGCAATGGCACGATCGTGGCTCACCGCAACCTCTGCCTCCTGGGTTCAAGCAATTCTCCTGCCTCAGCCTCCCAAGTAGCTGGGACTACAGGCGCGTGCCACCATGCCCAGCTAACTTTTGTATTTTTAGTAGAGACGGGGTTTCACCATGTTGGTCAGGCTGGTCTCAAACTCCTGACCTTGTGATCCACCCGCCTCAGCCTCCCAAAGTGCTGGGATTAGAGGTGTGAGCCACAGTGCCCGGCGGAGTTTTTAGCTCCCTTCTTGCCTGCGGGGGCTGGTCTGGGAGGGGCTTCTGATTCTGGGCAGGTGAACCACTGCCCTCTGGCTGGCAATTCCCCACACAGACACAGAGCTGGTGGGTGAAATAGACAAGTCTCAGGAGGAGCCTGGCATTGCCAGCCTGGTGGGTCATTTCTCTGCCCAAGACAGCAAAAGCCACTCTTCCTGGATAAACTCACTCTGTTCCCCAAAGAGGTTCCTTCTCCAACCTGGTCCAAATTAGGAGGTCAGGTTGCCTCTGTTTGGTTGGGCCTGGATTTCCTAGCATGCTCCCCTGCGGGCCAATCTGGGCTTTATGATGGAGTAAGAAGGCTCATTATTGAACTAACATTGTCTTAAGTATTCAGCAGGGGTCTCCTTTGTGGACTAATTTTGGATTTATTATTCAGTAAGAAGTCAATTTATTGATGGTCGTGCACAGTGGCTCATGCCTATAATCCCAGCACTTTGAGAGGCTGAGGCAAGCAGACCACCTGTGGTCAGGAGTTCGAGACCAGCCTGGCCCACATGGTGAAACCCCGTCTCTACTAAAATACAAAAATTAGCTGGGTGTGGTGGTGGGGACCCGTAGCCACAGCTACTTGGGAAGCTAAAGCAGGAGAATCGCTTGAACCCAGGAGGTAGAGGTTGTAGTGAGCCAACATTGCACCACTGCACTCCAGCCTGGGCCACAGAGTGAGACATTGTCAAATTAAGAAAAAAAAGCCACTTTATTGGGCTATCAACATGGATGTTTATGGGAGGAAGGTGAAAATTGCTTCTCAGCAGATGCTACTTTACAAACTAGTTCTTTCTTTTTCCCTCTCTCCCTCCCTCCCTTTCTCTCTTTTTCCCTCCCCCTTTCTTCTTTCTTTCTTTTTTTTTGGAGATGGAGTTTTGCTCTTGTTGCCCAGGCTGGAGTGCAATGGCATGATCTCGGCTCGCCGCAACCTCCACCTCCCAGGTTCAAGTGATTCTCCTGCCTCACTCAGCCTCCTGAGTAGTTGGGATTACAGGCATGTGCTACCAAACCCAGTTAATTTTTGTATTTTTAGTAGAGACGGGGTTTCACCATGTTGGTCAGGCTGGTCTCGAACTTCTGACCGTGTGATCTGCCTGCCTCAGCCTCCCAAAGTGCTGGGATTATAGGCGTGAGCCACTGTGCCCGGCCTTCTTTCTTTTTTAGATAGATAAATACGTAAGTTTAATTTCACACGCAATGCTATATTGCTAGGCTCAGCAAAGGCAAAAGAGCAATCTCCTCACTCTTTAAATTCACCTTGTGCTGAGCATGGGGGCACACACCTGTCCTCCGAGCACTTTGAGAGGCCGAGGAGGAGGATCACTTGAGCCCAGGAGTTCGAGACCAACCCGGGCAACATAGCAAGATGTCATCTCTACAAAAATCTTTTCAAAATGAGCCTGGTGTGGTGGTACGTGCCTTTAGTCCCAGCTACTCAGGAGGCTGACGCAGGAGGATCGCTTGAGCCCAGGATGTTGAGGTTGCAGTGAGCCGTGATTGTGCCACTGCACTTCAGCCTGGGCAACAGATTATGACCCCATCTCTAAAAATATTAAAATAAAATCATAAAATAAATTCACTTCGCATTTGTGACATGATGGCGTGGCAGGAAGAAGGTAGGAGACGGGATTCTCAGGGTGAATCTGCCATTTCTAAGAGGTGGGAGTTCTTGGGGTCATCTCCAGGGGCCCCCAGGATCTTGCTTTTTTCTTAAGACAGTTCCAAGAATCTGGGGTAAGTCTGACTGGGAAGAGACAGGATGAGGGGAGGCAGGGGGAGCCCTGAACTCTGCCTGGGCTCACCCTCCGCTGTCGTCTCTTGCAGGTCTGTGGGAGTCAGCACGCCGCATGGCTCAGCGGTCCCCTTGCTCCTGCTGCTGCTCCAGGGAGGTAAGTGGTTGCCCCGTGGTCTGCAGGTGGGAGGGCCCCCATCCCAGAGCTGAGCTGGGGCTGTGCTGGCTTTGTGGGTGCAAAAACACGGCTAGAGTCCACAGATCCAGAATGGATGGCATCTGTGCCCTTGAGGCCAACACAACTCCAGTAGCTGGCTCTCCACTAACCAGATTCCATCTACCAAAGCGCTCCATGAACCAGACGTGGCACACATGAGTCTCAGGTGGCTCAGCCCCAGGGCTTGTGTCTTCGGGTGCCATTGCAGGGATGCAAGGCTTCATCCTTTATTTCCCCTGTGCTCTGCCTTGGCTGGCTTCCACCTCTCTGAGTGAGGAAGTTCTGCCTTCCGCCTAACCTTGGTTTCTCCTTCTGTAATGACTCTCCTTGGAAATGTTGTTCAACAATTGCTGGGCTGGGTGGGGTGGCTCATACCTGTAATCCCAGCACTTTGGGAGGCCAACGTGGGGAGTAGGTCGCTTGAGCTGAGACTAACCTGGGCAACATGGCAAAACCCTGTCTTTACAAAAGAAGAAGAAAGGAGGGGCATGGTGGGGCACACTTGTAGTCCCAGCTTCTTAGGGGCTGAGGCAGGAGGATTGCTTAAAGCTGGGAGGTGAAGGTTGCAGTGAGCCAAGGTGAAACCACTGTACTCCATCCAGCCTGGGCCACAGAGCGAGACCCTGTCTAACAACAAAAACAAACAAACAAAAAAACAATTGCTGGATTCTTAGCAGGCACTAGTGGCCCCTGGGTTAAGGATGGGAGGAAGAGCCAAAAGGAGACTGAATCTTGGTAGGCAGCCACTGGGGGACAAGATGTTGAGGTGAGAGGGGACCATGTTAGAAAGCAGAGCTGGGAAGGGCAGGAGTCTGACTGAGGAGGTCGCTGTCTAGGACTAAGAGATCCCGGAGGCTTTCCTGGAGGAGGGGGCCATGAGGAGGCAGGATACAGCACAGGCTTGTGTGGAGGCTGGCTGAGGGGCAGGGGAGGAACTGAACGGCTGCTCTGCTGACTCATGGGCATTTTTCTTTGGTTTTTACCAGAAGACCCAGCACCTCAAATAGCGTCTTCAGGAAACAGATGTCAAGCTTTGATTTTCCCTTTTTGAGTGGCGATCATCCCCGTCTGGGTTCTAAAAAGCCTTTGGGTCACCCACCGTGGCTCCACATCTGGCAGGTACAGCTAACGAGCCCGGACTGCAGGCAGAGCTCGGAGCATCATCTCATTCCAGTCTCCCAACAGCCCCACAAGGCCCCTGTTGTAATGACACCCAGCTTTCAGTTGAGGAAACTGAGGCTCAGAGAGGCTAAGGGACAGGTGCATGGCCACATCACTGGGCAGAGGCAGAGCTGGGATCAGTTCCCTGCTCTTGAGGTCTTAGTCTGTTTGTGCTGCTGTGACTGAATACGTGAGACTGGGTAATTTATAAATAATAGACATGTATTGCTGACAGTTGTGGGGGCTGGGAAGTCCAAGGGCAAGGCATCAGCTTTGGTTCTGGTGATAGCCCCATTTTTGCTTCTTCTTTTTTTTTTTTTTTTTGAGACTGAGTCTTGCTTTCTCACCCAGGCTGGAGTGCAATGGTGCAATCTCAGCTCACTGCAACCTCTGCTTCCCAGGTTCAAGCGATTCTCGTGCCTCAGCCCCCTGAGTAACTAAGATTACAGGCACACACCATGGCTAATTTTTGTATTTTTAGTAGAGATGGGGTTTCACCATGTTGGCCAGGCTGGTCTTGAACCCCTGATCTCAAATGATCCATCCACCTCGGCCTCCCAAAGTGCTGGGATCACAGGCCTGAGCCAACACACCAGGCCACCATCTTTGCTTCTAAGATGCCACCTTGAATGCTGCACCCTCCAGAGTGGGTGCAAGCTGGGCTCTGCTGTGGCAGAAGGGACAGAAGGGAAAAGCAGGGCTGAATGGTGGGTTCCTCCAGTTCTCTTATAGGATCAATAATTCATTCAGGGGGGCTCTGCCTCCATGACTTAATTGCCTCCTAGAGTTCCCACCTTTTAATACGATCACGTTGGCAACTGAGTCTCAGCATATGAATTCTGGGGGACACAGACATTCAAACCATAGCCTGGTCCTCATCACCATGCTGTGCTGCTATCTGTTGAGTGATCGCTGTGTACGGGCTGCGATCGCTGTGTACGGTGGCTGTGTACAGTCGCTGTGTACGGTCGCTGTGTACGGTCGCTGTGTACGATCGCTGTGTATGGGCTGCGATCGCTGTGTACGGTCGCTGTGTACGGGCTGCGATCGCTGTGTACGGGCTGCGATCGCTGTGTATGGGCTGCCATCGCTGTGTACGATCGCTGTGTACGGTCGCTGTGTACGGACGCTGTGTACGGTCGCTGTGTACGGTCTCTGTGTACGGTTGCTGTGTACGGTTGCTGTGTACGGGCTGCCATCGCTGTGTACGATCGCTGTGTACGGTCGCTGTGTACGGACGCTGTGTACGGTCGCTGTGTACGGTCGCTGTGTACGGGCTGCGATCACTGTGTACGGTCGCTGTGTACGGTCACTGTGTGCAGTCGCTGTGTACGATCGCTGTGTACGGTCACTGTGTACGGGCTGCGATCGCTGTGTACG